CTATGCAATAAAAAATAAAAGTGCAGGCCCGAGAGAGAGAGAGAGAGAGAGAGACCTGGGTCGGGTTTGTGAGTGTCGGGTAGAGAAGATGGGTCGTCAGGGGAGAGGTGGAGGTGAGTGGTTTTGGAGTGTAAGCAGCCCATTTTGAGTGTTGTGGGTGGATTAACAGTAATTTGTGTTCATGGAAGGAAAATGTGAAAGCTCTGAAAAGCTTTGAAAATGGAGGGACAAGAAACGACACGGGACTTGGGGGAGTGCTGCTGCAACAGCTGAGGAAAAGGTGACTAGTGACCGAGTGAATACTGAACTGAATCTGTGAAAAGAGACAGCCAGAGAGAGAGAGTGTCTTTGTGTGTGATGGAAGCTGAAGAAGGGGGTCACGTGATTAGTCTATCATTAGTCACGTGCGGGTTGTGGGAGATTGAAGGAGCAGTGCAACTCGGTTGGGCAAATCCAACCCGCTGGAACCAACCCTGATTGGGCTGGTTAAAATTCGGTAAAAGTTCCCTCGAATCCAACCCGACCTTAACTTGCTTTATTTTTTGTTGAGTTGGGTTGAGGCCTCACCAGCCCGAATTCCACTCGAATGTAACTCAAATCATAATATGTTATATATATTTGTATAAAACAGAGCTGCCCACTTGAGCAATTAGTTCATTTGGATTCAATAATCTATATTTTTAATAGATAATGAAAGGCTCAGATGATGTGACCAACTTTAGTGAATATTATGAGGAATGTGACAAGAAGGATCAAATTAATGTGTAGATTAAAAAAATTAAAGATTACATTAATTTATGTGAAAGTTTAAGGACTAAAACGATGAATTTGTTATAATATTTAGGTTTTTTTTTTTAATCACAAAATGTATATGAGGTTTACAAAACTATCAATTTTTTTTTTTTTTTTTGTCATTTGTGGTCTTCAATGTTAATATGTGTGCTCGTAAGTAGTCTGCGCCATGAGTTTCCGTAAAAAAATGCTTTGCTGATATTGCATATACATAGAGCCCACATATCCAATAATATAGTTTCACGTGTATTTACACTCACCATGTGTATTTTAACTCTCTTTCTCTATCACCCCAACCCCACGAACACCAGTGCACATACCTTTTCTTTTTCTCTATATTTCTCTCTCCAATTTGACCTAGGTTTGCTCATATCCACTCGGTTTAATTCATGTTGCCTATGGTCGCCTCTCATTCGTTTTGGGCTTTTGGTCCTTTTTTGGTGGTAGTGTTTTTGGTCAAATTGAGTTTGGAATTGGGGTGCATTGCAAATTTGGCAAAGGAGATATATAATGCTAGGTTTTTGTTGTTTTTGTTGTTGAAATATTTAGTAATATACCCATTCTTAGTACAAAAAATATAAATAAACCCTACACTATTTAATTTCTATAAATAAACCCAAAAAATAACAATTGGCTCTATTTAATTTAATTTTGATTATTAAATTACTTTGATGCCTTATTGAGTGTTTGGGGTTTTTTTTATAATATTTTGGGGTTGGGCTTGTTTTAAGAAATCAATGACAGTTTTGTAATTTATAAGAAGTTAAAAGCTTTTTTGTTATGTTGTAAATAAGCTTTAGGTGTGTTTCTAAAGTCCATTTCATATAGAGTATTTTTATAATTTGAGCCCTTATATTAGGTATAAGAGTGGATCTCTTTTTTTTGTCAACAAGATGAGAATGGTGGTTTATCAGATGGAACTATTGTTAATTGTGAAATTTATCAAGTGGATGTGAATATATCAATTTATAAACTATGTCATAAATCACAAGTCGATTAAAAGTCAGATGAATGAGTTTCTTGTATATCACATTCGCATTCACATATGCTCAATTGGAGAAAAAACCACATTTAACGATTTATATTGGATCATCTTCTTAGAACTTTACACCTGGTTATTTATTTTATAAAATATTTCATAATTTACAGTAAGTGTCATCGTCACACAGATACAATTGCCATAAGTATTAAGTTTAGAAATTAATATGTGCACTAAACAAATTAAGTGTAAATAAGTTTTGATTACTATTTGAATTATTTTTGGGTCATTATAGAATATATGTTTAAGAATTTATTTTCTATACTATGAATAAATAGTTGGGAAAAATTGAATTAAGGAATGAAATATTATTTTTATAATACTTATATAAGGGTTATAAATCTCATCATCATATGTACCTTCCCTGGTCATGATACCCACACGTGGTGTTGGATTTTCCAGTGTGTGGGCTTCCTTGGTTACTGAATCTAGAATGGATGGATACTTGGAAAATTATGGATATAGTTTGGGTATGTCGGAACCCGGGCACCTTTAACGGGGTGTTACAGTCGCCCCATAGCTGCGTAGTTTATGCACATAGGACTTGTTACAGGCACACGAGTATTGAGGATTTTGCTATGCATGCTGGTGAGCCCTGTTGGACGGCTTGTCCCAGGCCACATGGTTGTTGAGGATTCCTCCGTGTGGTTCAGCCAAACGATTCCTGCATTGGATTGTTTTCCCCGATACATGATGTGTACTATCATACCTACATCCCCTTCAATACTAATACTTGAAAATAGTGGACATAGATACTTGGATACATGGAAATGGATAGCTGGTTAGTCTGCGCAATAGGACTTGTCACAGGCACATAAGTATTGAGGATTCTGCTGTGCGTGCTAGTGAGCCCAATTCCCCGAATAGACGGCTCGTCCCTGGCCACCTGGTTTCTTGAGGATTCCTCCATGTGTCTAGTTAAATGATCCCCGGATTGGATTGTTCTTCCCCTGGTACATGATGATTGTGTGAGCTGTGTGTATTGAAATATATATACATATATTTATAAATATACATATGTACATACACATTAAATATATATATATGTGTGTGTGTGGATACATTTTCGAGTTGTGATTCTTGAACGGGTGCTTCGTGAGTACTATGAACATGTATGAACGTCTGATTTATAGTTTGGAAAGTGTTGCTTGGCAACATATGCCTTGGATGGGGTATGGTTGCGGGAATGAACTAATAAAAGGAAAAGAAGTTATAAAGTGTTCAATGGATGCCTTGTCAAACTTGATATTAATATTTGAATCTAAATTAAATCGTTGACTTTACTTTAAATAATCGTATATTATCCAAGCATTGAGTGTTGATTTATGAACTACGTGTGGCTTAATCCCTCACAAAGGGGTACGTAGGTAGCCTGAGGCTTAACCTAGGTGCAGTTGCAAAATAAATTGTTTGAACCATGCTTGTATTATTCTATATGGGGAAATGAATTTTGAAAAAAGAAAGGTATTCTCTGATTACTGTTTCGTTAAGTGTTACGAGTCTATGGGCTTACAATGAGTTCAAAGACTAGAACGTTTTAGTGAATGTTTGGTTATAAGGCCAGAGGCCATTGATATGTTAATTGCATGTTATTATCTTGTGGATGCTGCCGGTTAAGATTTATAAATGTTTTTGACAGGTTTAAAATTTTTGGGAATGTCCATTTTTTTGGGAGACTTTGTCGAAATTTTGGCAGAAAGTCTCGTTTCTTTAGTAAGTGGGCTTGACATCAATATGATGTCGAAAATACCACAGGAGTTGTCCTAGGTTTCAAGGAATTTGGGGCAGGTCCTGCCATTGATATTTTAAGGAGCTTAGAAAATAGAGGTTAATTTTAAGAGAATTTTATGGATGGAAAATATTGAAGTTAAGAGTGTTTAAAAGCAATTTGGATGAAAATGCCCTTAAGTGTTTTATTGAGGTTTCATTAAGAATGAAAATGCCTTTCAATGTGTTTGGACGAAACATTAATTAAGATAAATTCTCTTGTTTTACTTAAATAATAATATTTTTGATCGAAAATGGATATTCATTACCAGACGCAAAAACAGAGAAGATGTTTGCCCTGAAAATGAACATAGCTATACAGTAGATTTTAAGAAATGTGAATTGCGGCATATAATAAATCAAGCCCAAACAGAAGCAAATACATAGAATAACACCAACCACTCATATCAGATCAAGTTAAGTCAATAGCAAAGCAAACTGAAGACATGAACACATCTAGAGCCAAATAGGGAACATCATTTAGCGTGCGGGCTGAAGTGGGTAGCCCGAGGTTCGATGGGTCAAAATCCAGCCCAACCCGTTCAGCTGGGTAGGACTTGGGCTTAGGATTTTAAACCTCTGGCCCACCTACGGCTCAGCTCGATTAGGCCCCCCATGGCTCGACCCGAGTAGGCCCTCTCATTTGCCTTATTTATGTTTTTTGGTTTTGCCTTATATTGCCTTATTTCCATTCCAAACGTTTAAGTAAATGTCTTGTCTTTGAATTTAATTTATTTTTATATTACTCCATTTACTTAAGTTTACAATATAAATACGGAAGTCCTCCCATTTGGATTCAATTAAAGATACAATTTATACCAATATTAATACCTCATAAAATTACGTTTGATTTTTTTAAGATATAAGGGATATATCATTGAAAACATTGGTATTTCGAAAGTCCATTTTTCATCCATTTTTCATACTTAGTAAAAAAATCTGCATATTATACTTGAAAAACTGTTTTCTCTCCAAATTTGACTAAGTATGAAAAGACAAGACTCGGCTCGACCATAAAAAAGAAAAAGCCCGACAAGGCCCGGTCAAAGCCCAAAAATTTAGAATAACACCAATAACTCAAATCAAATCAGATAAACATCTTAGAGTTATTCAAATTTTTTTCAAGTAATTAAAATAACACCAAACCACTCCAAACTAAACAAAGTTACTTATAATTTTCCCTTCTTTATTAATCATCATAATCCTCGTAGAGCGCAGGATAGCCAGAATCCAGCGCAATGCCACAATGACTGCCATGAGTGCCGTCATTTTTCAATAATTTCATAAATCCCCATCCACCCCACAAGTTCTTGACTATCTAGTATTGATCATTGGTAGCTTCGTCACACATTCCTCACAAAATATCCCACCTTTGTATTTTTCAAATTTGGAGTTGTGGGCACCGACACCAACCACCATTGGCTGTTCGTAGAGAGCTTAGGCCAGCTTGTCCTCAATCCTCGTTGTCACTATTGCATAGGTATCGATATTTAGATCACCTTCTTTTTCCTTAATACCGTCACATGCTCCTTCGATACCCTGGTATGGGTAATTTTGTTCAGTGTTTAGACCTCCGTTTTGGATTATGCAATCGTAGGCCTTCAATTTGTTTCCACCCAAGCACCTGTAGTTGGAAGCATTGCAGTCGATCAGTTGTTGCACGAACATCATCGAAGGCTGTTGTAAATTGAAAGTTAGAGCGTAAAGGCCTTCCACCACTGAAGTGATTGAAAACATGCAACACGAACCAGTGCACATAATATAATATATAAGTTTGAGTTACACACACAACACATGCATAAAATAATTAGTAAAACGTAAGAAAAAAGAAAATTGCATGCATATGGTAATGGTTGCTAGTACAGTCAGGGGCGGAACTAGTATATGGGCTAGAGTGGGCTCTAGCCCAGGTACGTTTTTTTTTATAAAAAAAAAAAGTATGTGGTTGTGCTTAATTTGTGAGGGCCAGCTTGGGTTACGTGGCCAATGCATTGGATCATTGATGGCTGGCTGCTGGTATCTTTTTATTATTTTATTATTATTTTAAGTTTTGTGGTCTATTTCCTATACAATAAAGTATTCTACTTTCCCATTGAATAAAGTATCCTAGTCTGATATGATGAAGTATCCTATTCCTAGCCTAGTTTGTCCTACACAACTTTATAAGTATCTTAGTCAGTCCAATAAAAAAAGAAGAAGACGATATTCATATTTATGAAACTTAGCCCTAGCCCTAGCAGTCCCAAAATAATATTTGCAGCGTTTTGTATTCTGTGCTACCAAAGTCGAGTTCATCGTCAACAAGCGTAATAAAGGTATCTAACTCTCCACAATCTCGAATTATTATTATTTTTTCATTGATTTGTTTAGTATAAAGTAAATTGTTCTGTTTTTGATATGTGTTATTAGATTATAATGTCACATCAGAACCAAGCAAGTAAAAGAGCAAAAACTATTGATTCATTCTTCAAGAAAAAAAATGATGGTGATAAATTAGACAATGACAAGGCTTCTACATTCAATGATAAGGCTTCACCATCAATTGAGTCACCTCATCACACATCT